GTGATCAATGGAAGCTTGGTTCCGATGAGTGTTGTCATCTTAACCCCATACTTCACAAGTTGAGCTGGGCTGACGTAACAGATCCATCGTGTGTCCAGTAATCATTAGTAGGGATAGAGTACAACTTCCAGCCTAAACGTTGTTGTCTCTTCTGTCTTGCTTGGGCTGTATATGGCTTTGACAAATCTCCTCCCAAATCGTTACAGGTCGAGCCCAACCAGCTCTTGTTCCAGCCGACTTACCTCCCCTGACGCCCACAACAGCCAAACATTTCCAACGATTGGCGGGTCTTCAAGGTGTAAAAACCAAACAGTTCAATACGGATTACACAATCTCTGATGAGTTGGGCCGGGGCTCATACGCCATTGTGTACAAATGCATACACCGTACTAGCAGAAAAATTTTCTCAGTCAAAGTAAGTTCCTTTATGGTAAAATAACCATAAAACTGTTTATCCATCCTAGTTTTCTTTTCAATTATAGCGAGGGTTGGTTAAAACAGTTTGTATGGTACGGAAGCACCGGTGCTAAATACTCGTGTTTTGTCGATGATGAAAGCCATCAGTGGTTAGACGCTCTCCATAGAATGTTTTACTACTTCACTAGGCTTAACTTCCGGCTGGTTCACAAGGACAGTTCCGAACTGTTTTACTCAACTTGATTAGTTAATAATATATCATGGGAACAACCAATCTAATGGTCCCGGCGTATGAAATTCTGCAGTTACCCCCGTTTATACATTTGTATCTCTTGATTCCACCAATATAGAACGCAAATAAATAAGCCTCAGGCTGCTATCCATCTTAGACACCAACAAAGATACTTTATGGCCTTACTTCACACATCAATACGATTTTATTAATAAAAAAGACCCAAAATGTGACAGACCGATTCACTGAATCGTGAGTTAAGCTACCCCAAATTGTTGTCACTCATGAATGGAATTAGCATATTCCACTAACATTTGACTAATGGTCTATGCGCTCCCAAAAAAGCGAAAAGGAAGGCCTAAACTGCCTCGACAACCAAAAACGGGAGATTCAGATATTTTTAGCTGGGGCTCC